ATATATATGCTCCCCTAGCGGTCCGTGTCTTTTAACTATTGCAATCGTTTCCTGACTGCGATAAACAGAACTCATATCGTTTAGTTAAATCGATCGCCATTCAAAATTTTGAAAAATTTTCATCTCGCTAGAACGTTCAAAATTCTACCTAATGCCATTATGAGTTAAAATTTCTCCCTAAATGATTCAAACACTTTAAAACTCTGCTATCACTTTAAAACTCTGTTATTTAAGTAGACTAAAACTAATAAATTTTTCTAAAAAATTTTTGTTATAAAAAATAGGGTGTATCACTTCTGTAATAAACTTTTATCACCACCCAAAATTAAACCTGCCAAAAGTACTGCGGCTTTCGTTTTTTTTTAACCCTTAACACACGAAGCTCTTTCAACGGTTGAAAAAACGAACTTGAAACACGAAAAGTTTACTAGACAAAACTCCTTATTACATTAATCATACATAGAGGCCAACTGTTCCGGATTTGACAAGTTTTTGTACTTCTTATGCGATTTCCAACAAGGTTGCGTTAAACGTAACGCTACATTTTTATTGGCCTGGAAATCACGTGGTAGGCTCCAGTTTTCCCTCATTCATTTCCATATTGTTTTGGTTCTCACTAGCATAAAAATAATAAAAGTCATAAAAGTATTGTTTTTCTATAAATATTTTTTTAGTTTGATTTGATACACATATAATATTTTAGTATATTTTATTTAGTATATTTTATTTTATTTTCAAATTTAGTGGATAACAATTGTAAAAAATGAGTAAAAACAATCCCACGGACAATGCGACGGATTTAAGGTTAGGGTACGTCTCTTAGTACGTTCTGTCAAGGTACGTCTCTTGTGAACATCAATTGATTGTTTCTCTTTTGAATTTACATTATGACGCATTCACATACATTATTAATACATTTTCCATGGCGAGACGATGAGGCAACCGTAAGCACTTCCACTGGCTCAAGAGGTCCACGAGGGAAAAACGCACAATATTACCGTTATTACAGAGCACGGAAGCGAGCGGAGCAGGAAAAAGAGTCGTTGAATAGAACTAGTGATCCTTCTACGACTGATGATTCTTCTACAATTAACGTCGCAGGTTACGAAGTTTAACTTCTTCCGCTTAGAGGGACTCCACGCACTATTTTTTAAGAAAAAAAAAACTGTATCGAACTACAAACTAAAATTTGCAGATTTTTGGTTAATTTTGCCAACTTTTTAAAGGGCTCGACACGGCTTAACCTCTTCGAAACGGGCGAGTCATCTATGTATTCTCATGGTGGTGACAATCACGATAAAAAAGATAAAACTGGTAGCTAAACTATTTTTATAGCAGTTTATTTGTGAGCGGGGTTAATATTTTTCTTTATTTAATTCAGCAAGACTTAGTTTAAATTAAAAATTATATAGTTACACTTTTAACCAATATAGATTTGATGTATTAGGTTCAAAGTAAAAGCAAAAAGAAGGTTGTCAAATTAGCCATGCCCAAACTTATGCTACCGCTTTTTTTTTTTTCTATCCTGTTTCTGATTCCATTCGAATATATTTGCGACCCACCTGTTTCGAAGAGGTTAATTGTAACAAAGTGGTGTATCAAGTAAGCCTTTGAATTATTTTGAAGTAGTGATGAGTACATAACCTATAAATCGATTTTAACAAACGGTAACTTAAATGTAGTCGTTTCTAATTCGACAGATTTACTTTGCTTTTACTTTAATTATTGCTAGTTTAATCATATGTATAATCAATGTTAATTCAAAGTATAACTAAATAGTTTTATTTTGAACAAAGTAATGGTAAATTGAATAAATCAAACAATTATAACTCTGCCCACAAATAAACTGCTAAAGAATTACCAGTTTTATCCCGGTTGATACGATTTTATGCTGGCACGTATTTGTGACAGTCGGCGTAAAAGGGTTAAAAGACTAACACTCAGAAATATTTATCCGCTGTCCAGATAAAAGTTAGCGTCTCTAGGCACAGAGATGTCAACTTGCTCCGAACAGCGAATAAATATTTTAAAGTGGTAGTTTATCAATTGTGATACTTGGTTTAATAAATTCAATTTAGTAGATTTTTATCCACCACTGTTTCTAAATAATTCATAAGCTTATATAATTCATCACTTTTTGTAATTAGGTCAAGCTATACAATTTAAAAAGCAACAAAAAATAGGCAAATGTATGCAAAATGTAGTTTGAAGTTATTTACCGGTTTTTGAATTATTATGGCGTGTCCGGAGCAGTTGGCATCTCTGTAGTCATAATACTACTAAATAAAGTGATCAAGTCGTAAAAAAATTAACATTCCGAATGGTAAACAATTTATAAATGAAATTTCTGCCCGAGTGTTACCTGCGGAGTGCAAAATTATTAGCACGTTGAATGCCAAGTGGGTCACCGGTGATCGGCACTGAGTTTGTTCGTAGCACCACGGTGGTCACCGGTGTCCGGCGAAGCGAAGCCAAGATTAATTATTAGAAACACATAATTCGAGTAAATTTAAAATGCTTTTAAAATTTTTATATTATTNTATGAATATTATTGGTTTGCCTTATTCACTTGTCAACCACTACAGATTCAATTCTCAAATATATAAGATACATTTCTCTAAATTACTTTTATAAAAGGTTTTGGGTTCATGCGCACAACAGGTTCACTTTTGAAACAGTCTGCGCGGACTACTTAAAAAAGACCGTGTGGAGGCTCGACATGGCTGAACTGTAACAAAGTGGTATATAAAGTAAGCTTTTGAATCATTTAGAAGTAGTGGAAGGTATTAAAACCCTATAAATCAATTTTAACAAATCAAGAATCATACATTAAATGACAAACACTCGGAAACATCCGCTGTCCGGAGCAAGTTGATATCTCTGTGCATATTATACTTGAAGACCACTAAATAAAGTGGTCAAGGAGTAAAAAAATCTAACATTCCGAATTGTAAACAGTTTATAAATGAAATTTGTGCCTGTGAGACACTTTTTGAGTGAAAAATGTTGCTTGGCATATTTTGCTCTTTTTAGACGATTTCTTTTATTTTTATATTAATGATAAATTTTATTATATTACATCATCTTGAAATACAGTTGGTCCGCCATTTCCTATTAGACAAAGTCTGATTAAGGCAAGAACTTTTTCTAATCTTCTGTCCAAGGCTTCGAGGTGGCTTTCAGTCAGTATGGGAGAAAGTGGATCTTTGGCAAGACTCTCTCTCATTAATTCACTCAACGGCCGTTCTCCAACGTATAATTCGTAAAGCCTGTTGAATGTTGACAACCTCACTAAGCAACATTGGGATAAAGGTGATAGTATAGATAATTCATCGTGATCCGAACGTCCAAATCTGTGGGTAAAATTATTTAGTAGGTTATTAGAGAACACTGCAGAAGTATAAGAGTCATAAATAATAATTTTCCTTCCGTTCCAAATTAGATTTAGGTCGAAAGTTTTATCCTAAATCAGTTGCTATATTTCAAGCAAGTGAAGTTATAAATAACTTCTGAGGCAGTTTTGTAGATCGATTCCAGTAAAAGCAGGGCTGCAAACTACTACGCAAAATATTTTATACAGTGGTAGACATTTAAAAATTGAAGCTTTCAAAATGTTTGGTAATATAGCCACCATTTTAAGAACTTAACATTGATAGAACTAAAACAAAGTGGTGTTGCATATGAACTTTTAAATCATTTCTGAAGACATAAAATCTAATTTAACATAATTAGTAATAAAATAATGAAAATTCTTTATCCTCGTAATTAAATATTTTAAATATAGTCTTCTGCTGCTTATGACATTGACAATTACCTTTATAAGCTTTATTTATGAAGTCGGAGTTAGGTCGAACAGAAAAGATCATTTAGGCTTCCGTAGCCGAAAAATTTGGGAACCGCTGATCTAAACTCTATTTATGTTCATTAAATATTTTTCTATAGACATTTAAATTTGTTTTAAGGCAATGACTGATGTATACTTTATACTTCGAATGCATTTGCTTTTGAGGTTTTTATTGATTGAATATAACTGATTGATTTGTTATTAAGAACAACATACTAATAAACAATTTAATTTAAATTTCAAAATATACTAACCCTTGACCATTGTCGAAATGTATAAGTGTATTAGTGTTGTCAGCACCAAACACTGTAAACTCGTCAAAATTCACCCTATTTTCATTTCCTGAAATATCGAATTCTTTGTAATTGAGAACATAAATAGTGCATAGGAAACATTACTATATGAAAGAAAATAATGAATAAAAAGTTGAGTGGATGAAATGTGTTAAGTGACAGTTTTATTAGATCTATCGGAAAATTCTGTCTGAGAAAGAACAGACCCAATTCTATGACAATAGAAAAGGTGCCTTAATAAAAAAAAAGGTGGCAGGGCATTTACACTTAATGTACGCATCAGATGCACCGCTTTGTTCAGTCGCATACTTTCGTTACAAATTTGAAAGTGTACACACATGTTAGGGATACATAAAAAAGGAACTTTATCATTAATGAAAGCCAAAGAATCCTACTCAATTGAAAATATTTGTACATAGTAAATGTAATGTAAAACACATAAAAAACCTGGTTGGTTGGTTTGCCAGTGTAGGGGGAACTCGATGTGTAACCATCTGCGTGTACTGAGTTCTATGTTGATCAAGTTAATGAAAACAATTCTATACTAACTTTATGAGCAGTGGAGGCTAAAGGAATAGATACGCTTTCCAATGAGGAGAACCAGGTTCGAATCCAACCGATGGCTAGTTGATACGAATTTCCCACCTTCTCACAGGCCACAGTACTGACGTAAAATATCCTCAGAGGTAGACGGATTATGGGTTAGAGTCCCCTTGCCCTCAGGCTAACCATGGGAGGTTTTCGTGGGTTTCCTCTCCATGGAACGCAAATGCGGGTTAGTTCCATCAAAACGTCCTCCACGAGGGCAAATTTCTCCCAATACTTGATCGAGGACTTCCCATGCCTTCTGGATTGGGTTCAAAATTAGAAGGCTACGGAGTTGAACTTTAATGGTCGTAAACCCCCAAAAATTGGGACGGCTGTTCAACGACGGTTATAAAATAAAAATAAATGTAATTGCCCATCGATATATGAAACTTGTCTGGGGAACAATAATGCAATGTAATATAAAGAATACTATGCCAGACTACGAATTTGAAGGTACGAGATTTGAGCAAGAATAACGGAGAGTCAGAAATCACAAGTTCAAAAGAATATTGAAAGAGGGAGAAAGGCGAAACATTATTCAGAAGGTAAAGATAAAGTTTTTAAGATCTGGAAAGAAGGGTGTTTCTTCTTTCTTTTCTAGACTGTTTTTATTTCTTAATTTTTTAAAGTTTATTTCGGAAAAAATTTCTGACTTTCTTTTTACCAAGTGCTTCTGATTGGATATTATACATGTATGATTGAATGTATAAGACAGATCCAGATTGAATTTGTATAGGAAAGAGTATGGCACAACTATATTTGTGTTATAATGGGGAGCGTAAAATCAATTCCTCATAGAAAAGAGAAGGCCTCAGCACGGGTTACCATAAGCAAAAAATTCGATCCTTTAGTAGTCCAAACGTAATGACATGCTTCGTAATTTCCACTACTGCGCAGTTTAGTTAGCTTACACCTCTGAGGGTACTGAATTGGAGATTGGTCGTTCAATGGATCAGGTCAAAATTACGATCTGTGGATGAGTGAATCGATGGTATAAATGGGTCCACCCTATAAACAAGTGTGACGTATGGGGGAGGCAGAAGTCAAATTTTAGGCCATAGATGGTGAAACTCGAAAACGAAAGCAATCGCACTTCCTCTTCCTTAATGGTCGACGACGACTTTGCTATGCCGAAAATATGCATTTGATTAAGCAAAATGCTTGTTTTTCATGACTTTAATGAAATACGACGCAATGTTTCACGTTTCTCGCTACATATTTTCATGTTATAAGCATTTAGCTTATCAAATCAATAATTTGCTTGAAAGATTTAGAATCGAAGAAGGATTATGGAAGAAGCATCTTGAAAGTTTTGGAAGAGAGTTCAGCTGCCAGATAGTTGTTCTGTAATGAGTTTAAAATAGGACATCCAGTCGTTAAGAACATAAAATATTCCGTACTATTAATTCTTATCATTTATGACTGTCAAAATTAATTTTGGATAGCAGACTGCGGTTATTTTGTTTTCAAATATTATCTGACATTTTATAAACATCAAATATTCCTCACTTTTTATCTTTTATCAGTACAACAGTCAAAACCAATTTTAGAATATTTGGCTTTTATATATTACTAGCTGTACCCTGCATGCGTTGCAACGCTTTCAATTTGAATTTTGTATTTAAGTGTGAATGACATTTGCGATTATGATTTGAAATGCAAATTTTATTTAATGGTGAAAAAAACCAGTGATAGTCTCAGCAGTTAATTCTCTAGGATATCATTAGTGCATTTTCAAACAGACATGTATGGTGATGCACACGGAGCATGAAACATATTTTGGACAATGATCTGAAATAAGACTGGATCTATGGTGACATCAAGAATTTCTGCTGATATCTGATCAGTTTGGCAAGGTGGTTTATTTTCAATAAGCCAAATTAGAATGTGTGCCTGAGGCAATCCTCGTTTTTGCCATTCAATAGAGTACACCCAACACCGTGTCTCTCTAAAAACATGACGCTTCACAATGAAATCAAGTAAAGATTATCATTTTTGTTTGAACACACGTGCTGTAATATCATGACGATCCGATGACGATCCGTAACAAAATATCTCTAATTTCAACCCAAGTAGAATTGCACGTAAATGTAATAAATAAATCTAGGAGCCCATATGCGAGAACATATGTCATTGCATCCTGTGAGTATTCATACATGTGCCTTGGAGTCCAAGGCACATATCGATAATGTATTAATGAACTAATTGTCGACATTTTAAAGTATGATTATCAGCGTTTTGGCAATCATTAATCTATATGCATAAAAACTTATTGTACTTGCTTTCTTATTGGTTTTCTCGCCTGTTTGCGGACTTCTTAATTTTATGTTAAAATAATATCCCTCCTCTCCTCACCAAAATAAAATAGGATATTGCAATGCATCATATGATCGATAAGTTTCGGCGAACTCTTTGAACGTCACGATTTCTGCGATGAAGAACTGTATCGCGGGAGGTAAAACTATAACAATAGCCACTTCATCCAATGTTGGCGCATTGTATTTTTCTTTGTGGTAACCTACAGGTGTTTTTTCAGCTCTAATAACAACTTTGTAAATATCGGATGACATTTAGTCNAACTAGATAACCTAAAAATTATAAATGCATAAGTAACTCACAATATCGAATTATTTAGTTTGATTTACACTCGATATGAGTTACCTTTATTATATGTAGTCTTTAACCTCGTAGCTCAGACATGGCAAGAAGCAATAAAGTTTTTTGAACATTAGACAATATGTGATTGTGGAGTTTTTTATTGACTTGATTTCTTTAATATGAAAGACAGTCAATGATTCTTAAAACAGTCTTTTTTTGTTGAAAGATAAGGAGAAACTTTTGGAAAATCGATATGAAACTTTGTCATCAAGAATTAAAATACAGAAGTGGAAAATATTATTACAGATTGAAAAAAAATTAAGTGTACAATTACATGTAAATTAAGTATAAAATAAAGAATTTAAATATAGTTCATAAACATAATATTCTAAAGAAGTTACATATGTATTGTTCTTTTTCTCGGAAAAACTGATACTGTTAGATAAGAATCTTATCAATTGAATTACGTTTCAGATATCCAAAGAAAAGTTTTGCATTTTCTGAAAAAAATACATTAAAAAAAACCTTATTACGTTTAGGAATTTTTGATATCTATATTTCGACGCCCACAGTTCGATGGTTTGTTTGCTTGAAATCTTATAATGTTCGTTTACGGACGCGTTCGTTTCCATTCCGGAGTAATTCTACGAGGAAAAATGGATGATACGCACTTTTAAACACGTAGATTTATGAAGTCTAAAGGCGCGTAGAGCCAATTTATTACAAAATGGTCCTACATTTCTTAAATTTTCATTGCCGATCACGTGATATAGCTACAGAAAATTCTACCCCAGTTTATGTCAATAAAATAAATTAATCAAGATGCATATTGCCGGAATAACCTGATTTGCAGGGCGCTGTACTCGCGTTCGTGAGAACGGGGAATTTGAATCCAGCCGGCCGAAGATTCCCGTGTACTAAATGGTGATTGGTGCACGCTAAATTTGTCGGATCACAAAGTCCTCAATTAATCCATAAAAATTACACCTCTGAGGGTACTGAATTGGAGATTGGTCGTTCAATGGTTCAGGTCAAAATTACGATCTGAGGATGAATGAATTGATGTATGAATGGGTCCACCCTATAAACGAGTGTGACGTATGGGGTAGGCAGAAGTCGAATTTTAGGCCATAGATGGTGAAACAGGAAAACGAAAGCAATCGCACTTCCTCTTCCTTAATGGTCGACGACGACTTTGCTTTGCCGATAATATGCATTTGATTAAGCAAAATGCTTGTTTTTCATGATTTTAATGAAATACGACGCAATGTTTCACGTTTCTCTCTACATATTTTCATGTTATAAGCATTTAGCTTATCAAATCAATAATTTGTTGGAAAGATTTAGAATCGAAGAAGGATTATGGAAGAAGCATCTCGAAAGTTTTGGAAGAGAGTTCAGCTGCCAGATAGTTGTTCTGTAATGAGTTTAAAATAGGACATCCAGTCGTTAAGAACATAAAATATTCCGTACTATTAATTCATATCATTTATGACTGTCAAAAACAGTTTTAGATAGCAGACTACGGTTATTTTGTTTTCAAATATTATCTGACATTTTATAAACATCAAATATTCTTTACTTTTTATCTTTTATCAGTATAACAGTCAAAACCAATTTTAGAATATTTGGCTTTTATATATTATTTAAAATTTTACAAATATTATATATTTCATACCTTTAATCTCTAACACTTATTACTGTTAAAAACAATTTTAGATTGCTCACTGAGACATATTTATTTTTCATAAAATATCTCAAATTTTATAAACATCAAACATTCCGTGCTTTTTATCGTTTAATTGTTGATAACAAATTTGTACAGAATACGTCAGAGTATTTCGTTTTATTGAATGTAACATTTGAAATCCCTGAATAAAAAATGCTACTTGAGACAGTCATAGTAAAAATATATTAAATTTGAGTGACAAACATTTTGTTTCTAAAAAGTCTATTCCAAAGAAACATTCTGCGCTCTGTATGAGAATAGTTTTCTTTCTTAAAAATTGTCTTAGCATAAATTGCAGGGTGGTTTCAATTTACTTCAGAGCACGATGACAATAGTCTAACTTATTTTATTCGTCTCTCCTTGCTTGAATTTTAAATTAGGCGAGAATGCATAGAACAACTGTAGACAAGATTTGTTAGAACTAAAATAAAAGTAAATGGAATTTTTTTTGACAGCTTTTTACTTTACCGTCATTTCCAAACAACATAAATAATGAGCATCATAAAAATACAGTCATGAAGATTAATACAAAAATATTAAAACAATAAGGGTTAAACCAACGCCTCCTGTAACTGATAGCCTCCACACGGTTTTTTAAAGGTAGTCCGATCAGACCACTATGAAGGATATCCACTTACCGAACGAGTCATTTAATACAGAATATAGTTAAAATAAGAAAGTGGTTGTAAATATATGACTAAAAATTTATTTTATTTATGAATATTACTGGCTTGCCTTATTCACTTGTCAACCACTACAGATTCAATTCTCAAATATATAAAATAAATTTATCTCAATTACTTTTATATAAGGTTTTGGGTTCATGCGCACAATTGCTTCACTTTTTAAACAGTCTGCACAGACTACTTATATGAAACCGTGTGGAGGCATCTTGATGTAGGAGGTGATGGTTAAACGCATTAACTCTTTCAGGTCGAATTTGCACAATTATGCGGGTTAGATATTTACCCAATGTGCGAAAAATAGTAATATATGTGTTTTAAATCATGATTAAACTAAATTCAAAATTTTTTCTCTTTTACCATTTTGATTTTTAAAATATTCTAGTAATTTCCTCCCACACATAAATATAAATGTTAAAATTATTTATATATTCTATTAGGCATAGGGTATCTTTTATTGCTTTTCAGCAATTAAATTCGAATTTATTTTCTTAACTTTTTATAAGCTTTTTTGAAGAGTGAGGAATGGATAGTTAAAAAGTACATGCGGTTGTAATGTACTCGTATTATCAGCCATTACTCTCGTTTTTGTTTGCACTTCTTCCCCAAAAAATTTAAAAGCGGTCATTTAATTCAATCAATTTTTAAATTTCAATTTGGTGACATAACATTCCTATTCACCAAAATATACATAAATAATCTAATAATAATATTAATTTTATCTAATAATAATATGTATAAATTATTTATACATATTATTATTAGTATAATCTAAGCTGTTACATATTCATTTTTTGGACCTGAAACTTCACATATGCAACATTGTTTTGAACTAAAATGGTAGTTACTTAAAATATAATTAACTTAGATTTATAGTTAATTCTCTACCAATTTTTGTTTTCAAATTGACTCCTTCAACATCACTACATAGTCATACCTGCCTACTTTTAATCCTTCCGAGGGCGATTTTTCCCAGTGGCAGTAAAATGGAAATTGAATTAAAATATTAGGCAGAAACACACTGTAGTTTGAAAGAGTTCATGTGGACTACCTCAACAGTATTACTTAATAATATATATGCTTAATCATTATAAAAATAGTGGTGGACAAAAAGATTATAAATTAAACTTATAAATACAAGGAATATATTATAAGCATGCATTTTACTACCACATTAAAGATATAAATAAAATTTTACTCCAAATGCGTAAAAGTTGGCAGGAAATCATAGTGTTGCGGAAACGCAATGTAAAATCTGGAAACGGTTTAAAGATCGACTTTCCAATAAAGATAATTAAAATTTATCTCGATGCAAAAGACATTTATGTTCACCGCAAATTATCAACAATATTTCAATACATAACTATATTCCATTTACTATTTTAAAACTCAACTTATAGGAAATGGTAGAAAACGACAAATCTAATTTTTTTTAATATATTCTCATAACATCACTACAAATTGTTGCAACATTATTCTCCTGAAAGGATTAATTTTTCATTGTTGAATTTCTCAGATTTTAATATATAGTTATATTTCAGTTAATATTTTTAATGTCCACTTGTGGCCAATGTTAGAAAACGTCAAATCTAATTTTTTTAAATGTGTTCTTTTAACATCACTGCAAAATGTTGCAACATTAATCTTCTGAAATGATTAATTTTTCATTGTTGAATCACTCAGATATATTTTGATGAGTAAAAGTTTTTTTTTTTCTTTTCTAAATAACTATCCCTGTTAAGGAAACATAAACTAAAGCGAATAAAAACAAGTTAATTGACATACCTATAAGAAAATCAAATATTGCGCAATCAACGGCATCATACAACCTTCTGGTCTCATTGAAAGGACGAAGATGCTGGATCACATTTTTGCAGAAAGATGGATCTTTTTCCCACTCAGCTTTTACATTCAGTTGGTATGTTCTTCTCCATGGATTTTCCACCTCTCTGTGTTCCAACAATTCAACAGGTAGAGGTGGTATGTAAACTGCAAAACTTCCTTCAAGCATATAAGGATTTCCACAAAAACCACTAAACAGCTCGCTACAATACATTTTACATATTCCTGCTAAACAATAATTCCCATCTGAAATAGATTATGCATTTCACTTATAAACAGTCGACGTTCTTGTTTGTAAATTTCATATTTTTCTTGAAGACGGATAGAGCGTNAGCAAATTTCAGCTGTTTCATTTTTAAATTTGAGAGCATTACAAAACATACTTATGTTACATGTGTATCCGATGATGACACTTGGGGGAAGACTATAGTTTGTTGTCGGATCATAGTGAAATGCACTGAAATTCAAATCAGAGTATTGGCAGCGTCTGAATAGCGAAATGCGTTCTCGGTCGGTTTTCATTCTTGCTTCCCGTTGCTCTGATGTTTCCGACGAACGGGCTTGTGTAGTTCGTAGTTGATTTGTTGACAGTCTTCTTTCCTGTTGCTCAGACGTTTCTAAGGAACGGGCAAAAGCATTCTGTTCTCGATTAGTTTCAAGTCTTTTTCCCGTTGCTCCGATGTTTCTGAAACACGGGTAGTTCTCTTTTTGCGCGCTTGAGATGTCGACCGACTAAGAGCGATTTGCTTAGGCGGCATATTTTTGCAAATATTCTTTCTGACAACGAAAAAGAAATGTAAAAGTTGGCAGTGGTCGCAAATTTGCTAAATCGAAATATCACATACATATTTTAAATAATAAAAAGAGCAATAAAAATGAGATGAATAAGAAATATGAAAATTATAAGATTTAAAACAAAAATCAATTTTATAAATGAAAGAAATAAAATGGATGAATTCGAAAACTTTGCATAAATAAACAAACAAACTAATAGTTTTCAAATGACAACTGTCACAGCACTGAAATCTTCGAAAAGTATATTTAATTTTGCTAACCTAAAATTACGTACTAAATATAAATATTTCTGAAAACGTGCAATTTGAATGAAATTTGCTTTTGTCTTTATATTTATTAAACAGTTTTCACAGTACTGAATCCGTGATACGACCAACAATTAAGAAATCTATTCTCGTTGATTTTACTTGCTTGTACTCACCTGACATAAAGAAACGCGCGAATTAAAAATTAAAGTATATGCAATTTACTTTAATTTACTTTTCTAAATGAATAGAGTTATAAGATAGAAAATATCACTGTTTTGTTATCTTCAAGATATTTGAAAATTGAATCGTTTATAGCAAAATTTAAAACAATGGCTAGCTTTTAACCAATCAGAAAATTCCATTTCGACTTTAACTGATATCGCTGGAACGGTTTATCGCAGAATGTTCTAATGTCGACAGAAACCTTCCTCGTGCTTTGAACTATCTGTATGCCAAGTTTCATAGCTTTCTGTCGGATGGTTTAGGAGTCTATAGAGGACAGACAGACAGACAGACAGACAGACACACATTCACTTTTATATATATAGATTTAAAATTTTACAAATATTATATATTTCGTACCTTTTATCTCTAACACTTATTAGTGTTTAAAACAATTTTAGATTGCTCACTGAGACATATTTATTTTTCATAAAATATCTCAAATTTTATAAACATCAAACATTCCGTGCTTTTTATCGTTTAATTGTTGATAACAAATTTGTACAGAATACGTCAGAGTATTTCGTTTTATTGAATATAACATTTGAAATTCATAAATAAAATATCCTACTTCAGACAGTCATAGTAAAAATATATTAAATTTGAGTGACAAACATTTTCTTTTTAAAAAGTCAATTCCAAAGAAACATTTTGCGCTCTGTAAGAGAAAAGCCTTTTTTAAAATTGTCTTAGCATAAATTGCAGGGTGGTTTTAATTTACTTCAGAGCACGATGACAATAGTCTAACTTATTTTATTCGTCCCTCCTTACTTAAATCATAAATTAGGCGAGAATGCATAGAACAACTGTGGAACTGTTAGAACTAAAATAAAAGTAAATGGAATTCTCTTTAACCGCTTTTTACTTTTACCTTCATTGCCAAACAGCATAAATAATGAACATCATGAAAATACTGTCATGAGGATTAATTCTATAAAAGTATTAAAAAAATAAGGGTTAAACGCATTAACTCTTTCATGTCGAATTTACACAGTTATATGGATTAGATATTTATCCAATGTGCTAAAAATAGTAATATATGTGTTTTAAATCACATGATTAAACTAAATACAAAATTTTTTCTCTTCTACCATTTCGATTTTTAAAATATTCTAGTAATTTCATCCCACACGCAAATATAAATGTTAAAATTATTTATATATTTTATTAGGCATGCATAGGGTATCTTTTACTGCTTTTCAGCAATTAAATTCGAATTTATTTTCTCAACTTTTTATAAGCTTTTTTTAACACGTTCACGCGTGACCTTCGAGACTCGCCGGGGTGACCCACCGGTGGCTCTCGTTAGATTGTCTCATCGGGCGGCGCACCGGAGTAAAAACTGGTAACAAATAAATTTCATTTTTTAGTTTTTTCCGGGAATAATAAAAATCCATAACTACCAATTGTTTATAACGGATGCAATTTTTATATTGAATTGCTTCTTCGCTGTGATAAATTTCCATACAGTGAATTGTTATTGTTGAGAATAGATTAATTCCTCCCGAATATTATCTAATATTGAAATAGTTCTACCAGTATTTTCACTTTTCCGTCCCGCTTTCAGGCGCAACACCCGACGTGAACGTGTTAAAGAGATAGGAATGGATAGTTAAAAAGTACACATGCGGTTGTAATGTACTCGTTTTATCAGCCATTACTCTCGTTTTGGTTTGATCTTCTTCCCCAAAAAGTTTAAAAGCGGTCATTTAATTGAATCAATTTTTAAATTTCAATTTGGTGACATAACATTCCTAATCTCCAAAATATGTATAAATAATCTAATAATAATAATAGTATTTATCTAATAATAATAATAATATTTATCTAATAATAATAATAATAATATTTATCTAATAATAATATAAATAAATATATAATCTAAGTTGTAACATATTCACTTTTTGGACCTGAAACTTCGCATTTGCAACATTGTTTTAAACTAAAGTGGTAGTTACTTTAGAAATAATTAACATAGATTAATAGTTAATTCTCTATCAATTTTTGTTTTCAAATGGGCTCTTTCAACATCACTGCATAGTGTTGCGGAAACACAATGTAAAATCTGGAAAAAGTTTAAAAGTCGGCTTTCCAATAATGATTATTAAAATTTATCTCAACTTAAAAGACATTTATGCTCACCACAAATTATCAATAATATTTCAATATATAATTAAATTCCAGTTAATATGTTTATACTTAATTTACAGACAATGTTAGAAAACGTCAAATCTAATTCTTTTTAGATATATTCTCTTAACATCACTACAAAATGGTGCAACATTACTCCCCTGAAAGGATTAATTTTTCATTGTCAAATCGCTCAAATTTTAATACATAATTACATTCCAGTTAATATTTTAAAAGCCAACTTATGGCCAATGTTAGAAAACGTGAAATCTAATTTTTTTTAATATGTTCTTTTAACATCACTGCTAAATGTTGCAACATTACTCCCCTGAAAGGATTAATTTTTCATTGTTAAATCGCTCAAATTTTAATATATAATTATACTCCAGTTAATATTTTAAAAGTCAACTTATGGCCAATGTTAGAAAACGTGAAATATAATTTTTTTTTAATATGTTCTTTTAACATCATTGCAAAATGTTGTAATATTAGTCTTCGGAAATGATTAATTTTTCATTGTTGAATCACTCCGATATATTTTAATGAGTATTTTAATGATATATTTTAAGTTTTTATTTCTTTTTCAAATAACTATCCTTGTTAAGGACACATAAAATTAAGCGAATTAAAACAAGTGAATTGACATACCTATAAGAAAATCAAATATAGCGCAATCAATGACATCATACAACCTTCTGGTTTCATTGAAAGGGCGAAGATATTGGATTACATTTTTGCAGAAAGATGGATCTTTTTCCCACTCAGCTTTTGCATTCAGTTGGTATGTTCTTCTCCATGGATTTTTCACTTCTCTGTGTTCCAGTAATTCAACAGGTAGAGGTGGTATATAAACAGCAAAACTTCCTTCAAGCATATAAGGATTTCCACAAAAACCACTAAACAGCTCGCTACAGTACATTTTACATATTCCTGCTAAACAATAATTCCCATCTGAAATAGATTATGCATTTCACTTACAACAACGGTACTTACACAAACAGACAACGTTCTTGTTTGAATGGTTCATATTTTTCTCAAAGATTGATAGACCGTTCGACTTACAATGAGGTGAACTGGATTCGAGTCTCAGCAATTGCTGGTCGATAGTAACTCTGCATAGAGCTTGCACCGACCACAGTGATGATGAAAAATATCCTCAATGGTAGACGGGTCATGGATTAAAGTCCCCTTGCCTCCAGGCTAACCATGGGAGCTTTTCGTGGTTTTCCTCTCCATGTAACGCAAATGCTGATCAGTTAAATCAAAAAGTCCCCCAAGTAGGCAAATTTACCAACAATACTTGATCCAGGAGTTCCCCTGTTTTCTAGAATGGTTTCAAAATTACAAAGCTACGGAGTTGAACTTTAGTAGTCACAAACCACTAAAAAATTAGGTCGGCTGTTCAACGACGGTTATAAAATAAAATAAAAACTTTACTTTTATCTTAGAGAAACGAAACGTGTATGACTATTATGATTTATTAGTAATACAAACTTTTTTGTTTCAATCCGAATTCATGATATTATGATAATTAACAGATTAAGATGAACTGATTGACTGACTTGAATGAACTTGGCAGTCCAATACAAACTTGTGAATTTTCTACAGTGCTACTACTTAAAAAGTGTTTACTCAGGTCACTAGCATAACAAAATTTTAAGTAAAATTAAGCGTATATTTATGACTACGGCAAAATAAAGCACATAAACATAAAAAGTTTTTCAGAGATAACCTGATTAACTAAAAATGAAATTTTGACAGAAATTATAAATCGAAACTGAACTGGGAACGTTGGCGAAATCATGTCAGCGAAACGATCGTGTCAGTGAAATGATTATGTCGGCGAAGTGA